ATGGAGGACCCTTTGGTGACCTTTGAGACCCCAAGTAAGGGTAAACTAATGGTTCGAGACAGCAACAACTACACCTATGTAGCCAATGCCTCGTCTACAGAAGTGAAATATTGGAAATGTTCGGTTAAAATGTGTTCAGCTGGAATTCGAACCCGAATTCGAACTGTCTCAGAATTAGATTTGTAATTAAAAAATATATATATATACTGTTATATATAAACGGTTAATTCTAACCAAATTTAATTTTAATTATGGAAAGTGTAATTATAGCAAGTGTAATTATGGCAAGTGTTACTTATGGCAAAAGTATTTATGGCAAAAATATAATGGCAAATGAAACTGAGCCGTCGAAAAATACTAACAATTCACCACTAATTTATATTAAATATAATGTAAACAATAAACATGTAATTTTCCTTTCCTTTTCCTTTTATTTCTATTTATTATATTTTTTTTAGAATTGGGGGAAATATTCCCACAACCTATATTTTTGGAGGTTTTCAAATATTTTCTCCTTAAACACTTAATTTTGTATGTTTTCTATTTTTCATAAATAAATGATTACTTACTCACTTACTTACTGCAATTCTTCAATACAGGGAAAGTTTCATCTTTCTGAATATCCCAGGGAAAGATTTGACACCTTATTTATATTTTTAAAAAATATTTTTTTGACATGTGATTGAAAGAAGGAGATGGAGGGAGGGTTGTGCTACCGGTCTGCATGAATATAGTTCTCTCAATCCGACCAATTTCTCTCTTCTCTCCGCTCTCCTCTAAATCTATCCGAGACAGAAAAATTGAGTTTAGTCGGAGTGTTCTCCTGAAGTAGTTGGCTCTCGGAGCAGCTGGAGTTTACACTCTAAGTATTCAAAGTATATTATTGGAGTAGTTGGAGAAGGGTTTCCAACGCAAGTGGATTTTACTTGCGCGCAATTGCGAGCCCTATAAACTCCGCGCAATTCCGAACAATTCCACGCAATTCAAAAACTGTTGCGTGCAATTCCGCACAGTTGCGCGCAATTCCACGCAACGGAATTCCGATTGGAAACCCTAAGTCGGAGTTTTCTCATGAAGCAGTAGACTCTGGTAGTAGTCGGAGTATATTCGAGGAGTAGTTGGAGTATACGAGAGGTCTGAGTACACGAGAAGTCCTAGTATATGAGAAGTCAGAGTATATGAGTAGTCAGGCTATAGTCGACGTAGTCGGACTATACTCTCGGATTAGTCGGAGTATACTTTTGGATTAGTCGGAGTATACTCTTGGATTAGTCGGAGTATAATCTTGAAGTAGTCGGAGTAGTCTGTTGGAGTATTCGGAGTATACTCTTGGAGTAGTCGGAGTATACTCTTGGAGTAGTCAGAGTTTACTCTTGGAGTAGTCAGAGTATACTCTTGGAGTAGTCTGAGTATACTCTTGGAGTAGTCGGAGTATACTCTTGGAGTAGTCAGAGTATACTCTTGGAGTAGTCGGAGTATACTCTTGGAGTAGGCGAAGTATACTCTTGGAGTAGTCGGAGTATACTCTTGGAGTAGTCAGAGTATACTCTTGGAGTAGTCGGAGTATACTCTTGGAGTAGTCTGAGTATACTCTTGGAGTAGTCAGATTTTACAATTGGAGCTGTCAGAAATTATGCTCTTGGGGCATCACGTGTAAATTCAAAATCGTCTAATCGTCCAAATTATCGTCGTTTGTAAGTTCTGTTACAGTTTGGCCTGCTATTCAAAACATACAGGGTTACTAATAACAAAGGATAAGACATTAATGACCTCAAACTCTGTCAAAATAATGGCATAAAGGTTAAACTCGGTCTTCTGTCTTAAACATCGTTTTCTGTGTTTTGTTAAATATAAGAATAGACTAAATTAATTTTGTGCAGTCGTCTCTGAATTCTCGTTCTTTATGGGTAACCCTGTAGGCTGTACACTACATTCGTCATACGCGATACACTCTGTTTTGTTTTCTAACATTTTGTAGGAAAAAAACATGTTTTTCGTTTAAAATTTCGTAACCTTGATTGAAAACAAAAAATGTCTAATTGGGACTAAACTATAAAACATGAATCAACATAAAGCATCAGAGGGACAACATCGCTAGTCGTTTCTTTCAAGTTTTTGTATATTATGTATTATTATGTATATATATTATATTATGTATTATATTATATTATATATATTATATTTTAGTCCTTTTTTCTAAACAATATTTCTATTGTCTGAAGAGTCTATTAAAGTTTTAAAAAACTGCATTTTTTGCTATTTTATACTTTTTTACTATTATGCAAATTGCCATTCAAAGTTCATTCACTTTCCAGTCTGTATAGAATAATAAAAACTTTATATAAAATTAAATTTTCAGCTTTCAAGAATTTCATAAAGAATCTTTATACAGTGGGCCCCATAAAACTGTAGAATAGAAAAAAGACATGATTTGAAATAGTCCAATTAACATGAAGAACATACTGCACAGACCAATATGTTTATTTCTCGCTACTGGTAAAACTCCTTTACTTTAAAGGTCCCGCAGTGAAAGTGTAAAAATCATTTTTTGATTGTATAGAGCAGGGGGGGGGGGAGAGATGGGAGAATGTTACCAATAGACTTTTAGCGATAAATTTGATAATTAGGGACCGTTTTTAATGAACTTGAGCTTGGTCGCTGAATTACTGCTACTGCCGGATTAAATTTGAATCACCGGTTCAAAGTTGAAGATTTGAATCAGTGATTCAAGATTTGAGATTCGGTCTCTGGTTAATTTTCATAAAATCATTTTTGTTCCACATATTTGATATAATTAAACAAACAAAATTTCAACATTTTTCGTATTTTTGGTAAATTTTCAAATTTAATGGAATTACTTAATGGCTTCAAGTATTTCTTTTCTGAATCTAAAACTTTTTCCATCAACGTATTAGAGTGAAGACAGAAGTAAGGTTGTTATTATTTATAGGTTTTTTATCCAATATTTTTAAAGCAACGTTGAAAGATTTCCTTTAAAGTCAGAGAAAAATCTTCAGCTTTAAAGGGACTGTCTGCGTAATTTAGTCATATAATCTTAATCCAATTATAAAGATGTATAACTTTTTTATAAAAAAAAAACGTTTATACAAGCATTTCTTTATTACAATAATATTGTTTTTAGAACCGTAATGTAATTCTGCCAAGTATTGTACATGGATGAGCTGTATCCCCATTACTGTTGATTTACAAAAGTGTAAAAGAATGTTAGTATAAAGTAGAATATGATATGTCATATCAGAGCAAATTAGGGGTTTAGGAGGGGTCAGAGGGGACAATATAAAAAAATGCGTGAAAAAAATAACAAATTTCGTAAAAGCAAACTCTGGAAAAACTTTAAAAGAAAACAAAATATGTAAAAGTGCCACTTTGGAAAACAGTGGCGTACGAGGGGGGGCCGCGCCCCCCCNTGTGGACTATTTTATTCTGAGCCCCCCCCCCCTCTGAGGGGAGGCACCCATGGGGGGAGGCTCTTTTAATATTACATCTGCTTGCATTTCCCTTCCTCAGGTCAGGCACAGTGGCGTACCAAGGGGGCAGTAATCCTCTTGCCCCCTCTGGGAGTTCCAGGCGGGGCTTTGCCCCCCTCCCCTGGAAAATACAAAATTAAAAGGAAACTGCGTTTAAAAATAAACACCTGACAATTTTAAGGGGGACACAATGTTGCCAAGGGGGGGGGACCCAAAAAAAATTGTGCCCCCCCCTAAGCAAATGCCCTCGTACACCCCTGTTGGTAATGACCAAATTCGGATTGGAAAATCACTATCTAAAAATCTGAAATATTCTAAGCCCTAATTGATAGTCCCAATAGTAATGATTTGGCATAAAAATAAAGAATAATCGAAATATATACATGTATTTTAAACTTTTATTCAAAAAAAGGTTTTTAATCCAATTGAAGGATTCAAGTTTTTTTTCCTTTTTTCTATATGTTGAGATCCAGCAGATTATTATGTTATAGACCACACTAGTAGCCTAATCAAAGATAATATGTTTATGGAGAGATGTACACTAGTTAGGATAACGAATCTTATTGTTAAGGATCGAGGATATAGTATTATTCGAACAATCTTATTAGGTAAACAAGGTAAACAAGGTAAACAAGGTAAACAAGGTAAACAAGGTAAACAAGGTAAACAAGGTAAACAAGGTAAACAAGGTAAACAAGGTAAACAAGGTAAACAAGGTAAACAAGGTAAACAAGGTAAACAAGGTAAACAGGGTAAACAAGATAACTATGACCACAGACGTAACAGTTCACGTGTGAGATCATGCGAGCGTGGAAACAAACAAACAAACAGACAGACACCCAAACAGAGATTACAACTTTATTTATATAGATAAGATATATAAAGTAATAATCTCTGTTTTTAATTATAGAATAGAGGTCAGATCATAACTTAAAAACTTCTAAACGATGGCCTTACAGTTTTATTAGGGAGCTCGGTAGAACCACGGGAATGTTCTGAGCTCAAGGTTTATAAGTTCTAAGTTGATGAGTTGGCTCACTTATATAGGGAAACCTTCAGGTTAAGCTGGGTTCCCAAGCTAGTATTCATATATGTCGGTAATTGACGGAATAAAAACAAAATTGTTTCATATATAAACAATTAAACATTTAAGTATTTTATCATAATTTATTTTTCTAAAACTAAATTAGGCCAGCGTTATAGGATTGAAATATCTGGCGTGTTCTGTTGACAAAATTACAGTGGTTTCCAGTTAAATGAATCATAATGGTAAATAAAGTAAAAACCAATAAAAAATGGAAAATTTTTGTCTTCTTGGACTTAAGTTTTTTTTCCGACAAGCTATCTTAATTTGAACTTTAGCATCCATATTTGAAAAGAAAGACAAAAAACATTTCACTTTTATCGGCTATCATACCAATTCTAAAACATTTAATGTTAAATAAATGTCTACAACTAAATCTTAAATTGATGAATTTCTCTACTTTTTTATTTGTTTCAGATGTCCTACAGTCCAGAGGATCATGTGATGCTGATTAAAATGATCTTTGAAGGGATTCTTCTGCCGATCATAGGGGGCATTGGAATACTAGGTAAACAATTATATTCAGCTACTGTGAAGAACGGGGGACTGGGGTCAATTTGAATTCGAACCGTACCGACCCCATGAACCGGCCTTGGTGGCGCACGGCACGTACCGACCCCTTGATCCGGCGTTAGTGACGCACGGTACGTACCGACCCTTTGAGCCGGCCTTAGTGACGCACAGCACGTACCGCCACGCCCTTATCCTTTGTTGGCTCGGTTTTAACTTTGATGGCGCGGTCAGACTTTTTACAGTACCCGGCATATCATGAGCCTATTTTACCTACCCCACAGTTAGAGGAGTCTTCAGGGGGGCCATGGGGATTCAGCCCCCCCTGGACAAATTCCTGACTACGCCCCTGTGGTAGAAGAGTATATCAATGTTTCTGAAAAGGTTTCTAATTTTATCCTAAAGTCAATCAGCATTTTAGTTCTGAAAATGAATCAAATGACATATTTTCGATAACATATATTTTCAGTTTGGGTCGATTTTAAATGAAAGTATAATATTTTTCATTTCAACAAACGATATTTTCAAATAAAAGATTAACGGCGATTTTATTAAAATTCTAACGTTCTACTTGAAAACGTTTAGCTTTAAGTAATTTTGATTCTATTTAGAATCTCTTTAAAGAGACAGTACGCGTACGCGACAGTGTTTCCCGGCATTAAATTTTCAGCCAGATAATTAAGAATGTCTCCATTATTAAACAAAGGTTTAATGGGTGTTAATGTGAAATTTAAATCTTCTGTAATATTCTTCGTTGAATAATTTCTTTACACATTAAATAAATAAATACACATTTGTATTATGTAAGGTTTAATATCAATATAGCTATACATTAGCATCTAACCTCTTACAAAGGCAAGTTTAGTTTGAACTCCGTGCTACAATATCGAACTTTGGTTTCTAAAAAGATATATAAACATTAGAAGACCTGACTAGGTATACATTAGCTCTATGTCAAAGAATGTCAGAAGTCTGAGGAAATTACTTTTTTTATTAAAAATATATCTCTGAAGATCTGCGCATCTATGTAAATATAGAATATAGATGAAAGATTTTAGATTTAAAGCTGGGATGAGTTGAATACAGAATAGCATGCAGCAGGGGCGTATTCAGGGGGGGCTATTGGGGCTAAGCCCCCCTGGACCAGTGAAATCTATTGATTTCAAAGGGTTTTCAGGCCCCAACGGGTGCTGAGCCCCACTGGAAAGATAAAAAAAAATTTAAGCCCCCCCGGACAAATTCCTGAATACGCCCCTGGCATGCAGAGTTGGTGTTTCAACAAGGATTTAAAGTGTCTTGGGAAGGAATTATGTTGAGCACATAGATAGATAGATATTTTCTGCACATTGCACACGCAAACAAAAACAAGCATGGTTAAAGGGATGATCACCGATTTAGAGGGGTTGAACTTTTTCCTTTAAATTCATGACAGCGGTGAAAACTTTGAATCAAAAAATAAATTAGAAAACGGAAACACACAAATTCTAATTTCTTTGCAACCTGACGCTGAACATATACGGGGTAAAAAAATATATTAAACATATTTCCACAAATAAAAAAAAATAAGTTTGAAAAAATTAAAAGTATTTTCGATTTCAACATATAGAAAATTTCAAACTCTTTTTCATCCTTAATAATTAATTTGGTTTCCCACATATATAAATACATAGTAATTCATTAGAATGCATTTAATGGAATTAGAGGGAGTGTTTGATGAATATATGTATGTATACAGGAACAACAGAAATATCTTGTCCCAATTTGCCATTTGTAGTCTTTGTGAGTAAAGACGACTTGCTTAAAGCTGCCTAGAAGTCGTATTAGTACTTCAAATGAGTTTTCAATGCCGCCAAATCTTTTTGATAAATACTCTCTTTAGGCGGATTTTCTTAGGAATTATTTGTTCCTACAAATAATAAGATTTTATAAGATTTGTAAGAATTAAAATAATGCAGGCAATGTTCTCTCTCTGTTGGTTCTCTATTATGGAAAACTAGATTTTCAGGTAAACTCTTTAGTTATTTTATCCATTATTAGCCAAACCTGAGATACATTGAGATACTTGAGATACATTGACTTGGTTTAGTCATTGGTAGTTTTATAGCTTACTCTTCTAGCAACTCAAAACTTTCCTCGATTTAACGATTGTGAACCTTGCAATTTCCTCGATTTAACGATTGTGAACCTTGAAGTTTCCTTGATTTAACGATTGTGAACCTTGCAGTTTCCTCGATTTAACGATTGTAAACCATGAATTTTCCTAAATTTAACGATTGTGAACCTTATAGTTTCCTCGATTTAACGATTTTGAACCTTGCAGTTTCCACGATTTAACGATAGTAAACCTTGAATTTTCCTAGATTTAACGATTGTGAACCTTGCAGTTTCCTCGATTTAACGATTTTGAACCTTGAAGTTTCCTCCATTTAACGATTGTGAACCTTGAAGTTTCCTCGATTTAACGATTCTGAACCTTGCAAGTTTCCTCGATTTAACGATTGTGAACCTTGAAGTTTCCTCGATTTAACGATTGTGAACCTTGAAGTTTCCTCGATTTAACGATTGTGAACCTCGATTTTATCAATTGGTGACTTTTAATTAAGTTGACTCAATTTCGTGATTGCTTTTCAATGCTTTATTTGTATAATTTTTCCCTCCCGACTATTTAGCTTTATCATCAGGTCGGAGAGGAGGAATAACCTTTTTCATTCATACCGTTATAAATGTTTAATATATTTTTACTTCTAGAAAACTTTTATCCAGCTCCTAACTGTCCTGTCTGTATTCGACATTATTAGGAACAAAATTATAAAAAGAAAAAAGAAAAGATTTTGTTTTTATTTTCGTTTATTCGATATTTCATATCAGAAGGAGTTTTTCTACAAAAATTAAAATATGTTTATTAGAATAAAACATGAACACAAAGATTTCGTCGAATTGCTCTCTTTTTAAAAAGTTTAAACAAAAAATAAATGTTTAAAAAGATATTGACATATTTTCTTGATTGATGGTGTTTCAAAAAAAGGAATTTTGAAAAATGGAAACCATGAGTTGTCTGTATGTAATATATGTATGCTGTGGGTACAAACTGCATACAACAACAGTTTTTTTGTTCATATTTCATAATATTTATATTATTGTGCCTCTAGTATTGTCAGCAATATTTTGCTCTTCTCCGGACCTCTCCTTTTCCAGCACTATAGGCTCCAGGTATATACTAACCCTAACTCCAGGTATATACTAACCCTAGTTCCAGGTATATACTAACCCTATCTCCAGGTATATACTAACCCTAGCTCCAGGTATATACTAACCCTAGCTCCAGGCATATACTAACCCTAGTTCCAGGTTTATACTAACCCTAGCTCCAGGTATATACTGACCCTAGCTCCAGGTATATATTAACCCTAGCTCCAGGTATACACTAACCCTAGTTCCAGGTATATACTAACCCTAGTTCCAGGTATATACTAACCCTAGCTCCAGGTATATACTGACCCTAGTTCCAGGTATACACTAACCCTAGCTCCAGGTATATACTAACCCTAGCTCCAGGTATACACTAACCCTAGCTACAGGTGCAGCAAAAAAGAATTTCTGCTGAGTTTTTAAAAATGTGCATTTTGTGTTTACATTGCATCTTGATTTCTGAGTTAGCATCAGGATACGAAATAAATATTATTGATGATATTGATAAATTTCACAATACAATTCATTCCATCTATCTTGTCTTCATATTTTATGAAACTAAAAAAAAAATTTCTCCAGATTTTCATTATCTTGATCTGTCTAAATTCAAACATAAAGATTTCTTCATAAACGATTTGTTTTCCAAAAATTGTTGCATGCACAATGCACATCATCTTGAAAGATACTCACAGCTGCATGAAATGTATTTGCAACTATATGTAAGATATTTTCATGGTGTAAAACCACCTCTACAAAATGTGAAATCTCTGAATTTGTAAATTTTTTTGAGAATTCGGGGAGACGTCATAACAAATCTATAAGAATATTTTATTAAGTTATGTTTTTGCCTATATCGGTGCAGTCCAACGAAAACACTTAGTTTTGGGGGATTTCTTATTTTTTAAAAATACAACTTTTTTTGTTTTTAGATCCTGCCCCACCTGCTGGCCTACCTGCTCCTACCTGTTGCCCAGATTGCTATGACCGGCTCCGTCCTGACTACCCTCGCCGTGTCAGTTGAACGATTTATAGCTGTGTGCAGGTCAGCTTACTAAACCTTTTCAAAGGAACTGATTACTTGCATCAAATATAATGTTCTTATCATATTATATCTTTGCAACCTTTTTTGAATTCTGCTAGATCAAATAGTCACAGTTTGACAAATGATAGGAATTTGATTTAAGGCAAGTAATCAGTTCCTTGTTTATAAATCAATTTCACTGTACAGTGTACAAGTTCATTTGTACGATTAACTTTATGTACACCTTGTTTAGACCTCATGTACACCTTGTTTAGACCTCATGTACCGGCTGCCAAGGATATTGGCCGGATTATCTGTTCTCTAATCGTCTTCTTCTCGATCCTGCTCAATCTAAACAGGTTCATGGAGTACGAAACAAAGGTAAACTTTTCAACTGTTTTACAGGGTGTCCAAATAAACATGAGAATTAAGTGACGACTTCTATATTGTCTTTGTTCCGTGCGGTCTTCTAACAAGAACAAAGTTTTAGTCGAATTCTAATTACAACAGTTAATAAACAAAACATATGGACTTCTGAATTCTAAATTGTGGTCTACCATTTTTGTACCTTTAAAATTGACGGAGATATTAAGATTTCAGTTTATTAAATAACACTAAAATCGTTCAAATTTCTTATATCTTCGTCAATTTTGAAGATGCAAAGAAGGCAGACCACATTTTAGAAAGCTTTTAAGACTCACAGTCTTGAATTAATATACTTAATGTTTTTTTCAAAATCTTCTAAAATCGAAAACAATTTTCAAGTCGTCTCTAAATTACAATGTTTTTTGGGACACTCTGTATAAAAAACGGTTCTTTTGTCAACTCGAATAAAAATTCTTCTTCATTCTAGAAATGAAATTAGACTCTAAATTATTTCATTCAGTATTTTATTTCCTATTACAGAGTTTTATGCTTATTACTATATATATATATATATATATCCATGCATACATACATCTATATATTTTGATAAATGATTTTTATTGCTGTAGAAAATGACGCTCTTTGGAATTTTGCAAAAAATATGAAGTTAACAGTCCCTTTTAAACCTTTTAACCGACTCTATAGGTTGTGGGCTTTTTTAATAAAACTTCCTTTGATCAAGATGAAAGGCTTTGTTTCCCTTTGTATGCTTTCTGTATATTACAATTATACAATCAAATAATTTCTAGACATAAATCTTTTTCAATGATACAAATAAAACTCAGCAATGTTATTAATACGACATTAACAAAACATACACCCAACTTGGCTATTAGTTCCATTTCCATTGTGAACATGTTCTCTTTCTGTAGATCTATCTATCTATCTATCTATCTATCTATCTATCTATCTATCTATCTATCTATCTATCTATCTATTTATCTATCTATCTATCTATCTATCTATCTATTTATCTATCTATCTATCTATCTATCTATCTATCTATCTATCTATCTATTTATCTATCTATCTATCTAGCTGAACACTATTGAGTTCCCTCCTAACATATCCTTCTCTGGAGCCGTAAGAGGAACAACGAACCAGGCATATCAGCACACTTTCAAATATTTGAAAAAAACATTTAAAACAATTTTATATGATTAAACTTAAACCAATACCTAGGCCCACAGCACATTATTATTAAGATTATTTATCTTTGTTTATTTTCAAATCTTAATTTGTCCCGATTAAACCGTTTTGTTTGTGATTCTCAATGTGTAGAATGACGTGTTCGATTCACAACAGTACCCTTCAAACTACAGAGTGTCCCAATAAACATGGGAATTCATTAAGAATTCGATATCGTCTTTTAAATAATTCTTTGATTTAGTATAGTGATACCTACTGAGAAAGCTGTAATCTGTAAGAGTTTCGTCTGCTATGTTCACATTTTGTTTGTTTATGTTTTGACTGCATACGGTTGTACTTAGTAAAACAACAAAATTGCAGTATACAAACAGAGTAAACTTGTCCATCTTCACTGTTCATCTTGTGGAGACATTATAGACACATCTTTACAGTCTTTTACCCTTTTCATAAAATGAATTCTAGCAGACATAATAATATTATGGCTTTTGAAATTAGGTATTACAATGCTAATTCATAACAAAGACGATATAAAATTCGTCACTGAATTCCCATGTTTTTTGGGACACCCTGTATTGACTGATTGAGTATATCGGATTCTCAACAGTACACTATAAACTATTAACTGATTGAGTATATCGGACTTATTCTTATTGTTCTAAAAATGCGTGTATAGTTCTAAAATACTTTTCTTTCAAGTTGCTTATATTTAAGAAATATTAATATTTACTTAGAAGAAGTCATAGAAAATAGATATTTAATTTCGAATTTTAAAAACCGTCTTGGAACTAAAATATTGGGTATTTTCAAGGGACACAAGTTGAGTTCACACTGTACACTAGCGTACATGCCAGCTTTACAATTAACGTCAGCTGAGTTGAGTTCACGCTGTACGCTAGCGTACACGTCAGTTTTACAAGTAATAGAACGTTATTTGAGAGATATCCCTCGATAAACAGTCAAAGGTTTCCGTTGCTAATCGGCATTGTTATCTTTGTCACTTGAAATTTACAGTCTCTTTAACTCTTAGCACTAACCCTTTTTTTAAAATTATTAAATCATTATTTTAGAGTTTTCATTGTGGGAAATATTAGTTATAAATTCATGGTATTAAAGGTTGATCATGCTATATTTGAAGGTTAATTGATAACTGATAAATTTAAGCTTTTTATTAGGATATTTGGATATGGTTAAACTAAAAAAAAAACATTGAAATGACTTGAATTATATCACCCTCTGCAATAAAACAATAAAATTAAATAGACCTATTATAATAGGTCTAAACAATTTTACATCTTTGGTTGGAATAAAAACTAAAGTTTATTTAAAATTTTTAATTTTCTGAAATGTTTTCAACTAAATTAGATAAAAAAGGCTTTTTATTCTTCATTGAATAAGCTTGATAAATCATTAAAGCTTTTAGTTTTCACTGTTAAAGAGAGAGAGTCCGGAAAAGTTTAGTTTTAGTTTAATTTTCACTGTTAAAGAGAGAGAGTCCGGAAAAGTTTAGTTTTTTTGTTAAAGAGAGAGAGAGAGTCCGCAAAAGTTTAGTTTTCACTGTTAAAAAGAGAGAGTCTGCAAAAGGGGGAATCATGAAATTAAATCAATTATTATTTTTTTTCTATTTTTTAATATAATATATTTAAGCAATGAATAGTTAAAATAAACTAAATATAATAGAAATAACTGGATGTGCCCGGTGTTGCCCGTGAATTCCAAAAAATCGTCAAATATTCAAAAAATGGCCTTCTGTGTCGAATGGTATATAGTCGTGATATGCCACTTATCTTTTGTTACCCATGGGGGGGGGGGTCACATTTTTTGTTTTGTTACAAAAATACACCGAAAATGTGTAATATAGTTAGTAAAAAACAACATAAAAGAAGTAAGAAATATACTAAAATTAATTAAATAACTCCTTAAATAAACAAAAGAAACCAACTATATAAGCGAATAATGTACGATAAATGTACTAAATATTATAAATATATTGCATAAATATATTAGATATATTAAATACCACCAAATTCTCTGTTTGCAACAGAAATGTTTATCAAAAATATGATATCTGCAGAATTTAAAAGTTTCAGGCATTTTATATACATTATCAAAAAGAAGGAATAAAGTTTTTGCTAAAAATATATGTCTGCATACAATATATAAATATGAATAAATCGATCGTCAATATTTATCAATCACGAACTTTAAAGCTCTTAACTATATTTGAAGCGTGAGCACTACACTTGAGGGTGTTTACTGTTCTGTCGGAGGCATAAAATGTTTGGTTTGGCCACCGGAGAAAATCTTGGTCAAAGACGACCTTGCAGCGGAGTAAGCTCAATTGTTTTGGTTAACATCATTCTTCATTTAGATTTTTTTTATTCTCAAATCTTCATTTTTAAACGAAATTGAAGCGACGACTGACTCTTAAGTGGCGGAAATCCGATGTTATGATCAGTGATCACTGATCAGTGGCCCGCGACGGAGATATCTTTATTTTATTATTTGAAAATTAAATGCAAGGATTTTAGCTGGACGAATAAGAATATATAACCGTCAGGCAAAGGTTTAAATGGTACCACCGGGAATGGCACATGCCACTCTGAACAAGGAGGGTCACTTTAAATTATGTCTTCAGTCCCTTAATGCTTTAATACTTGATACTTAGAAAGGTTTGAACAAAGAGAAAGAGGGAAGGGGGGGGGGGGAAGGGACAAAGGTTAAAAAAAAAATGAACTTTATAGAAAGGCATAAACTAAGTGATAAAAATGTTGTGAATGATATGATTAGAGTACCAACTTAGTAACCTGGAGTTTCTACACAATAAAACCAACCCCAACACGACTGGACCCTAAAATATCTCAGGTACAATATTTATACTGGAAGAAGGAGAACATTTATAGGTCTCATTGTGTTAAAATTATCTAATTTCTATTTTTTCAATTGGCAACTTTTGAGGTTGTCTTGTCACCCAAGAAAACTTTAAATATATTATTATTTTAAAAATAAATCTCGAATAAAAGATTTGTTTTTGAAAATTCTTGAAATTATTTCCAAAAAGAATCATGAATTTAGAAACGTTTAAAAAACATTCAATTAGTTTGAAATACAAAATTTATTTTCTAATCTTTAAAATAGCAAAATAAAAATAATGAACCAATTTAGAATTCAAAATTTAACAAAAAATATTTGAATATTTGGTTTTCCTCGTTTTCTCTACAATATTGAAAACTACTGATTAGAATGTTAAACTCCAAAACTCCAGATTTGAAACCTGGGAGAGTGAACTTCTTCTTAGGAAGTTTGGTGTCATTAACTCAAAATATTTATTTTGCGGAAATGTTATTTAGCATTGTAGAGATTTAGATATTAGAAAATGGGAGTTTTAATAAAATATCTGGATTGGAAACACGTTTTCTTTTTGTGAATCATAAAATCTATTAGAATCTATTTCGACATTCCAATTATCTTAATCGATGTTTATTTGTTTACATATCGACAGTGCAGTATTTATCAGAGCTTTCCTCAAAACTTTATATTCTTTTGTTGATATGTCTTGTTTTTCATTAGAGGATTGGGACAGTTTCAAGATGAAACCTTTCCTTAACTTACATCAAACAATAAACAACAAAGAAAATCAACAATCAAATTATATAATAAAATGAATGTAACGCAAGACCTGGGTCCATAGATTTTCTTAATGTGCTTCCTGATACTGAATTTAAAGAATTTGAGCTGCGTCGCTGCACAGTTCCTACTGCCGGTTCAAAATTTGAACCACCTATTCAGAGTTTAAGATTCTGGAAGGATTTGTATCTAAAACAAAAGGAACTTAATTTTGTTCTCCAGGTTTAAAACTATAACCCGAAAAACGAAATAAACATGATCTTATATAGTCAAGGTTTCTTTTATATAGATTGCAGCTGTGAGTAGTATTCTCATCCTAAACATTCTACCATTCTTTGCTATGTCCATCCTTAACATCTGTATATACAGGGTAAGCTAATTTTAAGAAGAACAGACGCCATTTTAAATCCAATCATTTTTACTTCGTAATATAAATCTTTAATTTAAAATCCATCGAAGACTCGGGTTTATATTTAAAGAAGAAGGAAGGAACTTGATGGAGCTGTTCACACTTTTTAAGAAAGAAAAATGAGAATATCTTCTGTGTTGTTGTTCAGAAAAAGGTTTAAACCTTTATTTTATTTCAAATCTTACATCGATATTAATCTATAAATTTACAGTTTAACCCAGAACTTTGGAAACATAGAAAGAATGTATGTAATGTCGTCTTGAAAGTAATTTTTCCATGTGTTCTATAATATTATACAGGGTTACCCACAAAGGATGAGACTGTAAAGACGACCCAAAACTCTAAAAATATGACATTTGAAGCTTGATTTTTAGTTTCTGCATTCAATTAAATATTTCGATGGTTTACAAAGTTGTTACACACATGAATAAGCCAGTTTTGGCCTGCAAGTAACCCCGAATACAAGAAAACGGACTTAACAAATTCCATGCAATCGTCTCTGAAGTCTCATCCTTTGTGGGTAACCCTGTACCTTTAAAATCTCAGTAATTGTAAAAATAAATAAATAGCCATGAAATATGCTGGAACAGTTTTAAAGAGCTTTATAAACAATTAACTAATTATCTGCAGCATTTCATTATCAGTAGGTTTAGAAAACGACATTTCATTTATTCTTTCGATGTCTCAAAAGTTCTGGGTTAAACCGTAGCTGGATAGATTATACAGGGTGTCCCACGAAACATGACAGTATGCAGGACGACTTGAATGGCGTCTTGATTTTTGATATAATTTGCTGCGTTTATTTGTCAACCTAATTTTAGAAGTAAATTTCTAGAGATAATAATCACAAAATTAAGACTAAATGTCACAAATAAATTCAAATACCAAAGACGACTTTCAAGTCGTCTTCCAATTGTCATGTTTCGTGGGACACCCTGTATATTGTATCTTTTACCTGACAAAAATCCTAAAATTCCATTTTTCAATTAAGTTTCCACTTTTGCAAGCTTTTTAGTAAATTCCAGAAAATGTAAAACATTCAGCAGTAAAAAGGTTCTATATCTGATACAGCTCAATTAATCTATTAAACAAAATTTTAAACATCTGCAAAGTTTAAAGGGACTGGGTTTCGTATTTCAAGGATTTCATTTCATTTAAAAACGAGGGGCATGCCCTGTTATGATTAAATATGCAAAAAATATTATCGTTTTTCTAGCTGGCTCTGATAATTTCTCTATTGTTTCCACAGCAGATATACGCAAGTCACTTTATAGAGAAAATAATCAGTTTTCAAAAACAAAGATTTTAAATATTTTTTTAATAATCTTTTATATTTAACAACAAAATTGAATACTTTTCGGTTAGTAACAAAAATTAGGAATTGCAAAAATAGTTTTAGTATTTATTTCTAAGTTTTATATTCATTAATTATTACTACTTTTTTTTCAAAGCTTTCATCTGCTAGAAATCTGAACTTTAATATTTCGTTGAAAATTTTCATATCTAAACTTTTATAAGTTTTGATGCCTAAAAACAAAAAATCTTCGAAAAATACTCATTGCAAAGTGGGATTTTCTAAAGAACAGTTTTCTTACTTAAAATGTAGTTTATTTTGTTAATTATTTGTAAACAATGAATACAGTTTAAAAGTTTTATTAGGAGCATATTAACAGTAATTTTTTTTTATAAATCATGGGATGGAATAAGATTAAAATTTTGAGAAATATTTATTTTTCAAAAAATAAATAGTTTTGCGAATTATTTTTTCTCTTATATACCAAAAAAATGTTAGTGTTAAACAACGCTAATCCCGTTTGTTTACTCACCCTGAGGCCGAATTTTATGAATTTGAGCCGTGGCTTAAATTTGACTCGGGGCTTAAATATGGTTGGTTCCACTGAAAATTGTACTCAATTTTTCAAGATTTAAATGCCGGAGCTCAGTTGAAACCGGTTTTTGGCAGATTTGAGACGCGCCTTAAATTCATTAAATTTGGACTCACTAGTTTTAAAGATTTGTGAGATTTTTGACCCAAACATAACTTTTGATTGTTTTTGTTCAATTTAAACTTTTTTAGAGTATCAAAAAGCGATCCCAGCTTATCAACTCAGTAACCAGAGAAAGAAGGTAATTGATATTATTTCAAATATTTGATATTTTTCACAAAAATTGAGAATCAATTTATATCTTTTAAAAGTAAAAATGAGTATGAGACACAGCAGTTGGGCAGTGTAAACAGCCCCATTTCACTAAATTAGTGATTTAGTAAATTTAATTTCTTTGTAACAACATCAATTATACTTAATTATTGCTATAATGTCGTCTTCCTATTCCCTTGTTTTAAATAATGGTTTAAAAATCTCGGAAATGAAAGCATCGTATTTACAATAATCTCGGAAATGAAAGTTTGGTATTTACAATAATCTCGAATATGAAAGCTTGGTATTTACAATAATCTCTGAAATGAAAGCTTGGTATTTACAATAATCTCTGGAATGAAAGCTTGGTATTTACAATAATCTCTGAAATGAAAGCTTGGTATTTACAAAAAATCTGTGAAATGAAAGCTTAGTATTTACAATAATCTCGAATATGAATGCTTGGTATTTACAATAATCTCTGAAATGTAAGCTTGGTATTTACAATAATCTCTGGAATGAAAGCTTGGTATTTACAAAAATCTTACCAATCCTTTCTTGTAAATATGGCCAGTGCGTAGTGACCGAAATTAGATTATTTTATTTCTATGTATTCTGATTTGTTTATATTTATTATCTAGAAAAAACAATCAACAAAATTGATTTATCTTAAATATTCTGTATACAATCAACAAAATTGATTTATCTTAAATATACTGTATTCAATCAACAAAATTGACTTATCATTACACTTACACACAGCTAGGGCTTGGCACGTTCCAAATTTTTCATCCTTTATTAAAATAAAATATCAGGTAGCGTTTCGTTAACGATATTTTCCGTTATTTTTTTATAGTTACCGTAAGTAAACGATCTCAATTTTATTAACTGCGCGTTAACGGAAAAGTTTTAACTATTATCACAGAATTAATGGTGTTAACGGCACGAAGCGGCAAGAAAATTTTGTTAACGGTAAATGAACTCATTAACTCACAGCCGTTAACAGTATTAACGGCGTTTAAATCTAATTTAAAATCATTAAAAGACGTAAACATTTTTTTTACAAGTTCAATGCAATTTTAAGCAGAACAAAACGAAACTCACCTTTTTTCTAAATATCCGTTTTGTTTTCGTTTTCAATCGTGGATTTTTTTCTTCAAAAATGGCTAATGTGTTTCGTCAACGATTTAAAAAATAATGGCTTTTGCCTTCCGTTAACGGACTCTTCCGTTTATTTTCGAATACCTCTGGTTGGTATCGGAACTTTTCCCAACCCTACACACAGCGCACATACAGTGTGTCCCATGAAACATGACAATAGCAAGACGACTTGAAAGTTGTCTTTAATCTTTGAATTTACTTGTGACATTCCATACCTGCTTTAACATATATGATTCTTGAAACTATAACTACCAAATTATCCTAGTCCTGTTATTTCAAAACGTGATTAGCCTTTTTCGTGCTGTCAATATTATTGAGAATTTAGTTCAGATTTCAGTTTTTAAAATATAAGAAAAATTGTCGAAATCAAATGCAGACCACATTTTGGAAATATCAATGATAAGAGTACTTTGTGATTATTCTAGAATTCTACTTCTAAAATTAGGATTACAATGAATTTTGCAAATTATTTTAAATATCAATATAGACCTTCAAGTCGTATTGCTACTGTCATGTTTCGTGTGACACCATGTACAAAATTTAAATATTTTTTATGTATTTTACAATATTGTAAAATGTATAAAATGGCTGTATAGACCCTACCAAAAAAGATGCAAAAATAAACAAATAATACTGAATTATAACATTAAAGTTTCGCAGATAAAAAAATGTTGTAAGACGATGAAATCACTTAAAGTCAAATTGTAAATTAAATTTATTTATTTCTCAGGAACCTCGGGATTGCGACAATACTTGTCTCCATCGTCCTCGTATTCGTCCTCTGCCACAGCCCGAAGTGTGTCATCAACTTCCTCGAGTTGATAGCTGTCATTTCAGGTATACTTCAAATAATATATTAAACAATAAAAAAAATTGTGCCCCAAAATTTTTGCAAATATATTTTTTTAAATCTAAAAATACTTTCCCTTTAACATTGTTGTATCTAGGTATAGCTCCAAGCTGGGGACCCGGACCGGAAATACTTGTAACCCTTTCACATTTTCTCATCACCGCCAACTCTTCCGCTAACTTTATTATTTACTGCTTCAAGGTAATATATTCCGCTAACTACATTGTTTACTGCTTCAAGGTAATATATTCCATTTATTTTATCATTCATTGCTTCAAGGTAATTTATTTTACTTAATTTATCATTCATTGCTTCAAGGTAATAAATTTCACTTAATTCATCATTCATTGCTTCAAGGTAATATATTCCGCTAACTATATTATTTACTGCTTCAAGGTTATATATTCCGCTAACTATATTATTTACTGCTTCAAGGTAATATATTCCACTTATTTTATGATGCACGACTTAAAAAAAAATTTATAAATAACATTGAAACCCCACCAATAAAAAACAATAAAAAAACTGCTGTAAAGGCAATAATTAAGTGCAATTTCATTACTTTGTTAACACTAGCACTATAATATAGAATTATTTTAGGATGAAGGATTTAGAAACTCAATGATCAGCATAATTACATGTTTTAGGTAATTTAACGATTTTTTTAAAAAATATAATAAGATTTCAATTCTAAAATTTAATATAGTATAATTTCAATTATAAAATGAGACTCTTTTCGAAAAGAGAAATATTTTCTTAATTTTGGCAAAATTCTACAGAAATTTCAAATGAAAATAACTTATCTCGAAATTATCTTCATCTCTGCAGTCTAAATGTAGGAGCCTTGATTCTCAACCAATAAATTCTGTCAGATTAAAAAGTCACAAGCGGTTGCAAACATATAGGGAGTAGCAAATTCGTGTTTGGGGTTAGTAATCAGTTTCTTCTGTCGTCTGTATTCTAAGATTTAATCCTGTAAAATATTCTTGTTTGGAATGATATTTGTTTAGACGAGGAGATCCTAGTGGAAGAAGAAGAGGAAGCAGGAGTAGACGAGGGATCAGGTATACACAATCAACTAGACAGAAGGAGAAGGAGTAGATGAGGGATCAGGTATACACAATCAACTAGACAGAAGGAGGAGGAGTAGACGAGGGATCAGGTATACACAATCAACTAGACAG